AGAATACAGAGACAGGCAATCTCTGAGATGAGGCCAGTCTGCTTTACATAGTGAGTTCCAGGCCAGCTGGGACTATACGGAGATAGGGAGACCCTGTCTCAAAAAAGGAATAGAAAAGGAATGGGGATTATAGCTCAATTGGTAGAGTGCTTGCCAAGAGCACACAGAGCCCTGGTTTTGTTCTCAGTAGCACATAAAACCCCAAAAAGTGGCCCACATCTGTAAATGTAGAAAGGTAAATGTAGAAGGATCAGGAATTCAAGGTCATCTTCAGCTCTTTAGTGAGTTGGAAGCCAGTCCAGGCTACATTAAGCCCTGTCTCAGAAAAAAAGGATATGTATGCAGAGACTTGGGAATAGAGTGTCCCTTTGGGGTGGAGGCTCTTTGAGTCTGATTAGATGAAGCAGGGGGGAGGTGAACAGGGGCTAGGCCCAGAGCTATGGTAAAGAATGTGATTACTATCATGATTTTGTCTGGTGCTAGGGACAAACAGAACCTTCTAGGCAAGTGCTTTACCACTGAGCCATACCCCCAGCTCTGGTATGGAATTGGGATTGTACAGAAAGCCATAAAACCCTTGAAGGTGGGGGAGGTGTTGGATTGAAACTGGAAAGGGGACATGACTGAGAGGAGGGTAGTAATGTAGGGACAGCAGGGTGAAGTAGGAGGTATTGTGCAGGTACCACTGAGCTCTGCCTGCTAGCAGGGCTTACCCCTGCCAGCTCCTTTCCTGGCCTGCCTTCTCTCCTAATAAGTATGTTTTCCTGCCTGCATCTCAGTTGCTTTCCTCTGCCTTTGTTTTCTGTTTCACAGTACCATGGCAGAACAGGATGTGGAAAATGAGCTTTTGGATTATGACGAAGATGAAGAGCCCCAGGCGCCTCAGGAGACCACTCCAGCTCCCCCCAAGAAAGATGTCAAAGGATCTTACGTCTCCATCCACAGCTCTGGCTTCAGAGACTTTCTGCTAAAGCCAGAGCTCCTGAGGGCCATAGTGGACTGTGGCTTTGAGCATCCCTCAGAGGGTATGCCTCCCTGGCGTCATCCCCTTGCTGGACTTTCTTCCCAGAGCCTGTTCTGACTGACCTGAGCAGAGGGGCCTCCAGTGTGTCTTGGATGAGGGTGGTATGCCCTTGCAGTGGGTCCATTACGTCAGCTGCCCCTGTGCAAGCAGGTAGCTGGCACCTGACCCTAGTGTGACTTACTCTGACTGAGGAATGTGCTGGGAGGCAGCATCTGGTCTCTCATTCTCACACATGCTTTTTCTTTCTCAGTCCAGCATGAGTGTATTCCCCAGGCCATCCTGGGCATGGACGTCCTGTGTCAGGCCAAGTCTGGGATGGGCAAGACTGCCGTGTTCGTGCTGGCCACCCTGCAGCAGATTGAGCCCATCAGTGGCCAGGTAGATGTGCATTCCCTCCTGGGCTGGGGCCCCATGTAGCAGTACAACTTAGGGTCTTGTGAAACTTGTGCTCCCACAACGTCTTTATGGGTTTTTGAACTTGAATATTTTATTTCCCTGTGGTGTATTCTGGGAATTGAAGTACACTGACTGGGGTCACCCAGTTACTGCTGATTGTTAGGGGGTTGTCTTAACATCATGAGCATTATGGTCTATACTGTCTTGGGATAACTCAGGTGAATTGTGGGATCTTAAGAGTTATGTTGAAGCCCAGCATAATAGTACCAGTTAGAAAGCTAAGAGAGGAAGATTGTGAGTTCCAGGTCATCCTTGGCTACATAAGGAGACCTTGTCTAACAAGAAAGGTTATGTTGTAGTGGGCTCGGATCTCTTGCCTGGCATGTGTGGATTTTTTTGGTTCACATCCGTTTTTGGGTATTAGTGTGTCAGGACAAAGCAGGAGGGTGAAGACTTAAAATGGAGGGCTGTGGTCAGGGTTACAAGGTGGGTGGAAAGGCATGGCAGTCTGAGGGCTTGTGTCACCATTTTCTGTTCCTGGCCTGGTAGGGGAGACAGACCTTGGTAGCCATGGGAGTTTGAGGAAGATAGGCCAAGTCAGGAGGAGGAGGAGGTGTTTGACTGGGCCTTCAAAGGACTTATGTGTGTGCCCTGTAGGTTGGGCTTAAAGGGTGTGGATTCTGAGAAAGGGGGGTGCTTTGACGTGACCTTGAAGGAGCTGTCTCTTGCCCACTCTGCAGGTATCAGTACTGGTCATGTGCCACACAAGGGAGCTGGCCTTCCAGATCAGTAAGGAGTATGAGCGCTTCTCCAAGTACATGCCCAGTGTCAAGGTGAGCCTCCTCAGGTGCTATGCCCTATACCAGCTGGCCTCCTACAAACCTGCCAGCCTTGACTCATGCCCAGCCAGCCTTTATCAGCTTTGAGTTTTGCAGGTTTATGTTCCTTAAAAGCCTAATGAATTATGCATGGCCCCCAGGGGCTTGTGCCTTTCATTGCAGCTGCCCACCCCCTTCAGGCTTACCTGCCCTTCAGTCTCCTGGATTCTGATGGATCAGGAATGAAGTGTCAGTTGCCCTTAGTGTGGCTGGGGCCTGTGCTATCAAGGCCACTGTCCCCAAATAAGCGACTTCCTTTGTGCTCCCATAGGTATCTGTGTTCTTTGGGGGCCTCTCTATCAAGAAGGATGAAGACGTGTTGAAGAAGAATTGTCCCCATGTCGTGGTGGGGACACCAGGCCGGATCCTGGCACTTGTGCGGAGCAGGAGCCTCAACCTGAGGAATGTGAAACACTTTGTGCTGGATGAGTGTGACAAGATGCTGGAGCAGCTCGGTGAGTGTCCCAACCACTGGCTAGCCTAGCCTGCTTCCACTCGGACTCCGCCAGTTTCTAGGAGCCCCGATTGAGCAGGCAGTGGCTTTTCATAGTGAGTCATATGGGTAGCCAGAACTCAGGGCTCCTGAGAATGGCCTGAGGGAAACTTACAGTGTTGACAGAATATGTGCTGCTTCTGAGCCCAAGTTGAGTGGATCCACTGGAGCCCCATGAGCTGCTGTCCCTTCAAGGGCATGTAGACATACCCAGGGACCTGGAGGTGCTGGTGGCTTTTGCCACCCTTGGGGTTAGTAGTAGTCCCTAGCAGGGCCTGGGGGGATGGGCGTGTGTCCTGGAAAGCAGCGGCAGCTCTCACGCCAGCAGCTGTCTCTGCCTCAGGCTCCCCTTCCCGAAGCGTGGCTCGAGGCGCACTGGCAGGGCTGCTCCGTGCTGGCAGCACGTAAGTGGACCTCGGCTCCTCCAGCGCCTGCACTTCTGCCCGCCTGAGCCCAGCCCCTCAGGCAGTGGGGATGCCCCGTGGTCCACTTTACCGTGGTCCACTTTACCTTGGCCATGTGCCAGCATTCCCTGGCCCAGGTTGGGAAGGGCTGGTCCCTCTAGGGTGGGGGTCTGCTCAGTCAGGCATCTATACTCAGACCTGCTGTGTGTTGGCCTCCCACTCAGACATGCGGCGGGACGTGCAGGAGATCTTCCGCCTGACACCCCACGAAAAGCAGTGCATGATGTTCAGTGCTACCCTGAGCAAGGAGATCCGGCCAGTCTGCAGGAAGTTCATGCAGGATGTGAGTAGGGTCACACCCCAGCCGGCTGCCTGTCCACCTTGGCCGACACCAGCATAGCAGCTTTGGCCCTCCTCAGGGCCTGGCTGCTCAACACCCACACGGCCCTCATGGCCTGGAGGATGCTGGGAGGCCGGCGCAGCCTCCTTCCTTCCCCTGGTTTGTCCAGCTGGGAGCCAATTGTGGTCCACACCTGAACCAGAGCAGAGCTTACATCCGGCTTTTGGGAGAGAATTGTTTACTGAGGTTGGGTGCAGCAGGCCCTCTGGGAAGCATCACTGCAGAGGAGCTCTCCCTGGAAGGTTCCGGGCACTTGAGACGCCCAGAAGTGAGCCCTGCTCGCCCCTTCCTGCTTCCCTTCCTACATAGCCCATGGAGGTGTTTGTGGATGATGAGACCAAGCTCACACTGCATGGACTGCAGCAGTATTACGTCAAGCTCAAGGACAGTGAGAAGAACCGCAAGCTCTTCGACCTCCTAGATGTGCTGGAGTTTAACCAGGTAATGTCCCCACTTGCCCACACCAGGTTCTGGGCCCGTTGGGGAGCCTCACAGGCCTGACAGCTGCTCATTTCACAGGTGGTGATCTTCGTCAAGTCCGTACAGCGCTGCATGGCTCTGGCCCAGCTCCTAGTGGAGCAGAACTTCCCAGCCATCGCCATCCACCGTGGCATGGCCCAAGAGGAGCGGTGAGTGCATGATGCCTGCCGTGGCCAAGGGAGCAGCACCTGGGAGCCCATGTCTGATGTCTTCGCTTGTTTCCTGCACCCAGCCTGTCTCGCTACCAGCAGTTCAAAGACTTCCAGCGGCGGATTTTGGTGGCCACCAATCTGTTTGGCCGAGGGATGGACATTGAGCGCGTCAACATCGTTTTCAACTATGACATGCCTGAGGACTCAGATACGTACCTCCACCGAGTGAGTGCCCTACCCTAGTGGGCTTGCTTATCCTCCAATCCTGAGGGGTAACTGTCCTGACCCCTGACTCCATCTCCCTGCAGGTGGCTCGTGCTGGTCGCTTTGGTACCAAAGGCCTGGCGGTCACTTTCGTATCTGATGAGAATGATGCCAAAATTCTCAATGATGTTCAGGACCGGTTTGAAGTGAATGTGGCAGAGCTTCCTGAAGAAATTGACATCTCCACATACAGTGAGTGGCTGGGATTCTTTTTGGGTGTTGTAAGGCTTCAGGAGCGAGACCCCCACCCTCACTGCCTCACCCTTGTCTTTACAGTTGAGCAGAGCCGGTAACCAAGTGCCTAACCGAGGCCACGAGCCGCCTTTCTTCACACCTGCTGCCTCAGGTCTTCTGAACAACAAATGTGTCTCTTTTGGTACAAGTATATGTGTATAATTAAACTTTTACTATGGGTGCCTGGCTCCAACCCCATCTGCTTCTTGTCACCCATCACCATTTCATGGAAACCATGGCCAGGTCAGCAGGCTCCTCCCAGCAAAGAGGCCACCTTTTCTATCAGTGTGATATTTAATTTTAAGTGTTACCAGATAAAAACCTTACAAAACATCCACAACCTTTATAATAATGAGATCCTTCCACTCTGCGGGTGGGGAGTTGGGTCTCTGTACCGTGAGCCAGTTGTAGGCAGGGTCCTTGGCCTCTGACATGACATCAGTCTCAGCTTAAGAAAGAAGTTGAAACCAGCACCCTGGCCTCGTCTGTGCCAAAGACAGTTGAGGGGAAAGAACCAGGCTGAGGATAAGGGACCTCAGGACAACTTCTGTACCAGGGCAGTGGGCTCTGCAGGTCTGGGTTGGCTTCTGTCCCCATGGTAAGCGATAGCTGTGGTTGGGCAAAGAACAGCCAGAAGCAGGATCAGTGGTCTCTATCCTGTTGGGCGCAGAGCCAGCTGTACAGTCTGTGACACATGGTGCCCAAAGTGGGGAGGGAAGCTGGGACACAATGCAGAAGAGGAACAACCTTGTGTGCTCCTGGTCTGGCTGGAACTTGCCTTCACATCCCGGACTCTGGAGGTCTAAGGACCTGCAGAGGAGAGAGGTCTTGAGGATGAGCCCAGCCAGATTCACCCCCCTCCCCTGCCCCGGGCCAGTCCCTTACCCGGGTCTGATTTTGGCTGGTGCCAGTGCCTGTGGAAGAGTTGAACTCTGAGTACTTGTTCCCAGCAACCATGCAGGCCCACTTCCGATACTCTTCTCTCACCTGCCGGCCCAGATGCCAGGTGTAAGGAGGGGGTAAGCCTGAGGCTCTAGGCCTAGCCTGCCCACTTCCTCCCCTAGGCTTTCCCTGCAGCTCACTCACCTTCTTGTTGAGCAGGCAGAGCATCAAGTAGAGGAAGAAGCCCTGCAGGCAGGTGAGCAGGGTAAAGATGTAGGACAGCCAGGTGCTGTGGGGGTTGAAGAGGAACAGGCCAAAGACCCAGGTGCAGCCCAGCACGAAGAGTTGGGCAATGGCAGTGATGGTCAGCACTCTGTGGGCAGGCAGTTGCAGTTGACTACCCAGCTGTTCTAGCCCTCCTGGTTCTACCCAAGGCCCTCCTCCTTACCCCTCTTACCTCACTTTCTTTAATTTCTTCATGTCAGGGTTGATATCCGAAAACTTTTTTGTGAGCTTCCAGACGGTGATCACAAAAATGATAGCATTACACTGGGTGGAGAGTATGAGTCCTTAAGTTAGATGGCTGGTAAAGGAGTGGGTCCTGCTATTCAGGCTTCCGGTGTGGGGAGGACACCTACCAAAATGATGAATGCCAGGGGTCCCACGAAGCTCCAGAGAAAGCCACTTCTGTGGTCCAGCCAGCAGCTGGGGAAGAGGAAACCATCAGTGCCCCTGCCCAGTACCCACCAGCCCTTGCCTTACCCCAGCCACACCAAACTTACTAGGTTGGGCGGCCATATCCCTGGATGTTGGAGGCTGCCGAAATGGCCACAATAAGCAGAGGCGTTCCGTAGCCAATCAGGCAACGCCAACGCGTGCTCAAGCCCTGGCCCTGGAACACTCGAACCACAAGGAAGTAAAGCTCCAGGCCTTCCAGGCTCATCCAGCAGAAGGCGGCCAGGAAGCAATAGTGCAGCAGTGCGGCCACTAGGCGGCAGCGTGGGCTCACCTGCAGGCACCGAGAGGCAGGTCACATCAGCTCTGGGTGGTACCTTGTGCCTGCTGAGCCAACCCCTTGGGCCTCGGATGGGTTAGCAGGGGCAGGGCAACTGGCCTCCAAAACCTAACACCTCCAGCCAAGCAGCTGGACTCCGTCAGATCTACCTTGTGCACTGAGCCTCAGGACTGACACTGGGCTACCCTACTCCCGGGTCTTGGTACCCCATAAGGGGCTGCACCGTCCTACCTCACCACCTTCGTTTTCGATGCCCACCAGGAAGATGACAGAGCCTAGGAAGAGGCAGATACACAGATGCAGGTGCACTGTGGTGCGTGAGCTCTGGATGGGCCGCACCAGCAGGAAGGTCAGGATGCACAGCAGGAGGCAAATGAGGGAGAGCAACAGCCCCACTTTGGTGATCAGTTCCAGCCTTGGGTCCTAGAGGCAGGACAGGGTGGGGCAGGGTTCCATCAGGGCCCTCAGGTCCTCCTGTCCCTGGAACTCTATTTTGACAAGTGTTCTGATTGCTGTTTTGAATGTGTACTGGCATTTGTGGTGTAGTGCCAGTGAAGGCTAGAAGAGGGGACATAGCTGTCACGTGGCTCTGGAAATCAAACCGGGGTTCTTTGGAAGAACAGCGAGTGCTCTCTTTAAAAGATTTTTTTTTAATTTTATGTGTATGAGTGTATTGCCTACGTGTGTGTCTGTGCACCTGTGTCCTGCAGTGCCTGAGGAGGTCAGGAGAGGGCATTGGATTCCTCTGGAACTGGAGTTATGGACGGTTAGCCACCATGTGGGTGCTCAGAATCTAACTCTGGTCCTTTACAAGAAGTGCTCTTAACCACTGAGCTATCTCTCCAGCCCAGCAAGTTCTCTCAACCCCTGAGACTTCTCCAGCCCCTGGAGCTCCTCTTCCCCCACACCTCCAGCTGGGCCCTTGCTATGCAAGCATCTATGAGAGACAGTCATACAAGTGTGGTTTGAACCACAAGATCTGCTCTGCCTGGCTCATTCCAGTTAGGCACATAACCCAGTTTATGGCAGAGCTTGCTCCTTGAAATGTTCTATCCAGGCATTTTTATTACATTTATTATTTTATGTATTTATGGGGGCCATGTGTGTGGTCAGAGGACAATTTAGGGGGAGTAATTTTCTGGGGTTGGGCTCCAGGGATGAAACCCAGGTCATTAGGCTTGGCTGCTTTATCTGCTAAGCCATCTCACCTGCCCTACCCAGGCCATTTTCACAGTACTTCACAATTTGCTGGGTTCATGCAGGGTACTCTGGCAGCAGGCAGACCAGCTGTTGGGTCACAGAAGACCCAGGGAAGGGTCTGGGAAGCAGGGCATGGGGCCATCAGTGACCAAAGGGACTGACTTGAACAGTCAGCAACAACCCCTGAGCACAGCCAAGGTCCCATCCTGGCTGATCTGGGCACCTGTGGGCTCAGAGTTGCTGGTACTCACCTGCACATGATAGTGGGCCATTAGAATGGCAAAGCTGCTCAAGTGGTTGCAGGTGCATTCTGTGCCATTCGGGCTTTGAATTGAGCAGCCTTCAGTGGCCCAGCGTCCGCTTCCGTTGCTCTGACCTTGCCAGAAGGCACAGATGAGCTCTTGGCGAGGCCCAATAGACTCCCGCTGTGGGCAGATGGGTGGTGAGTGGGGGTGCCTGGAGCACACTCTCAAGGTGGGCCCAGGCTAAGCAGAGGACCCTGCTTCTTGAGCCCTGTTCTGCTGAGGATCCAGCAATGAAATGAGACACCAGTCCTGCCCTCAGACTGACCAGAGAGCCAGGGGCAAATCACAAGCAGAAACAAGTAGTAAATGCCACAGAAAAGAGTGGGAATGGCTACTTGCAGATTATAATTTTATTCTTTTTTTTGTCTTTTTGATTCAGGGTCTCCCTGTATCCCTACCTGGCCTGGAACTCACTATGTAGACCAAGCTGGGCTCAAACTCAGAGATCCGCCTGCCTCTGCCTCCCAAGTGCTGGAATTAAAGGCACGTGCCACTACGCCTGGCTTACTTATTTTTTTAGAAATCAGGGCTGGGCTCAAACTCAGAGATCCGCCTGCCTCTGCCTCCCAAGTGCTGGGATTAAAGGCACGTGCCACTACGCCTGGCTTACTTATTTTTTTAGAAATCAGATTTATTGAGTACACTGCAAGATCTAGGCAGTAACTAGATTACCACTTGCCCAGGCTGTAATTTCTTAAAATTTAAAACAGGGTCTTAAGTAGTCCAGTGGCATAGTTAGCTTCAGAAGTAAGTCTGTAAGCAGTCATCTTCTGTGGTCTCTGCTTCAGTTCCTGCCTCCAAATTCCTGTCTTTGAGTTCCTGCCCTGACTTTCCTCAGTGGTGGACTATAATCTATAAGCCAAATACACCCTTTCCTCCCCAAATTGGTTTTGGTCAGTATTTTATCACAGCAACAGAAAGCACACTAGAACACCCAGGCTACCAAACTTACTATGTAGTGAGGATGACCTTGAACCAGCCTTCATCTCCTGAGTGCTGGGATTACAGGCATCTGCCAACACACCCAATTTATGCAGTGCTAGGGATTTGAACCCAGGGCTTCATGCACACTAGGCAAACTACCAACCAAGCTACATTTTTTATTACGTGTATTTGTGTGTGTTTTGGGGTGGGGAAAGTCATGTGTGCCACAACCACCATGTGGAGATCAGAGGTTCTCTTCCTTCCCCCATGTGGGTCTCGGGGATCGAACTCAGGTTTACTGATGAGCACCTTTACTGCTGGGCATGGTAGCACATGCCTTTAATCCCAGCACCCAGGAGGCAGAGGAAGGCAGATTTCTGTGAGATAGAGGTCAGCCTGGTCTACATACCAAGTTCCAGGTCAACTGGAGCTACAGGGGAGACCCTGTCTCAAAAAACACCACCCAAAAAGTTGAAAAAAATAAAAGCATGTTTACCCTGAGCCATCTGAATGGCTCCAGACTATAGTATGTTTTGGGAGGGGGAGGGGAGACTAATTTTTTTAAATTTTGTTTTGGATGGTAGTCCATGCCTTTAATCCCAGCATTTAGGAGGCAGAGGCAGATGGATCTCTGAGTTCAAAGCCAGCCTGATCTACATAGTGAGACCCTGTCTCAAAAAAATACATATAATAGTGTCTGGAGAGATGGCTCATCAGTTAAGAGTAGTGGCTGCTCTTGAAGAGGACCTGGGTTTAATTTCTAGCGCCCACACGATGCCTAATAGTGCTCCATGACTCCAGTTTCAGGACATCCAATGCCTTCTGGCTTCCACAGGCACTGCATGACACAGGTGTACTTATATGCAGGCAAAACACTCAGGCACATACAATTTAAAAAAACAAAACTTATGCCAGGTGTGGTGGCGCACGCAAATCCCAGCACTTGGGAGGCAGAGGCAGGCGGATCTCTGAGTTCAAGGCCAGCCTGGTCTACATAGTTCCAGGCCAGCTGAGGCTAGAGGGAAACCCTGTCTCAAAAAGACCAAAAAAAAAAAACCTTAAAGGGGGCTGGAGATATGGCTCAGTGGTTAAGAGCACTGACTGCTCTTGCAGAGGACCTGGGTTCGATTCCCAGCACCCACATTGTGGCTACAAACTGCCCTTAACTCCAGTTCCAGGGGTATCTGATGCCCTCCATGGCATTGCACGACAAATGTGCGCACTCACATACATGCAGGCATACACATAAACTTAAAAAATACATACACCTGGGTTCAAATTAGCACCCATTTAGCGGCCAACAACCATTGTAACTAACTCCACTTTCAAGGGATATAACACTCTCTTCTGGCCCCTTTGGTTTTGCACACACATATATACATGCAGGCAAAACATTCATATACATAAAATAATAATTTAAAAATATATAAATAATTGCTGGGCATGGTGGCACATTTAATCCCAGCATGTGAGAGGTAGAGGCAGGTGGATTTCTGTGAGTTCAAAGCCAGCTGGGGCTACAGGAAGACCCTGTCTCAAAAAGATGTGTGTGTGTGTGTGTGTGTGTGTGTGTGTGTGTGTGTGTGTGTAAATATAAATTTTGGGGTGCTGGAAAAATGACTCAGTGGTTAACACCACTTGTTCAGTTCCCAGCACCCATATCAGGCAACTCATAATGACCTGTACCAGTCCCAGGGGACCTGCTGCCCTCTCTGGCGTCTGTGGGCACCTGCACACACAGGGTGCACATACAATCAAGCACATAAATAATATATAATAAAAGCTTTAAATTTTGCTTTATAGTATTGGGATCAAACTCTGGGTCTTATCATGCTAGGCAAACACCCTACAACTGAGCTAAACAGTTGCCTACTGCCTGCCAGTTGTTTTATTACTCATTCATTTTTGAAGTACTGGGGCTTGAACCCAAGGCCTTTCTGCATGCTAACCAAGTACTGTACCACTATATCCTCAGCCTCCCTGCCTTCTATATTTTTATTCTAAGACAAGCCCAGGCTAGCTTTGAACTCACTCTAGTTCAGTCAGGCCTTGAACGTTTGGTCCTGCCTATGCCACCAGACTGGACTCAGATTGTAATTTTTAATGTTTTATATATTTCTAATAATTTTTTAAAAAATTAAATTTATTCATTGTGTATGTCACAGTGTGCATGTGGACAACTTGTGGGAATTGGGTCTTTTCTTCCACCTTGTGTGTACCAGGGATCAAACTCAAGTTGTCAGGCTTGTCTGCAAGTGTCTTTACCCACTGAGCCATCTCACTGGCCCTCAGGTTGTAAATTTTAAATAAAGAGGTTGGCTAGGTATGGTGATACATGCCTTTAATCCCAGTACTCACAAGGCAGAGGCAGGCAGATCTCTGTGAGTTTGAGGTTAGTCTGTATATTGAGTTCCAGGCCAGCCAGTGCTTAGTGAAACCCTGTCTCAAAAACAAAAATGGGCTAGAGAGATGGTTCAGCAGTTAAGAGCCCTGGCTGCTCTTGCAGAGGGCCTATGTTCAATTCCCAACACCCACAGGGTGGCTAACACCTGTATATAACTCCAGTTACGGAAGATCTGATCCCTTCTTCTGGCCTCAGTGGGCACCGCATGACACTGGTGCACTTGTACACATGCAGGCAAAACACTCATACACCTGAAAATCAAAATAAATATAACCCCCCCAAACCCCAAACCAAACAAAGTGGTCAAGGAAGGCCTAATAAGAAAATGTTATTTTAACAAAGACTGCTGGAAACAGATCAGGACTGAGTTCACAGAAGAAAACTATCTCAGGCAGGAGGCACAGCAAGTGAAAGGTCCTGAGATGTTTGCGGAAGCAGCAGAGAGAGGAGAGCAGCCACATTGACTTCAGCTAGGGAGAGCAGCAGGGTACCCCTTTCCACCCCTCGTTTCCCATCAAGGACTCACAGAGTAGGAGAAGGTGAAGGTGACATTTGAGGCCAGTTTCTTGGTGTCCGTGTTGGTCATAAAGACAGAACTGACGTTCGAGAGGAGCTTGAGTGAAACATCACGGACTGGGCTATCATAGAACTCCTCCAGTGCTACTTGCCTCTTATCCAGGTTCAAGGAGGCATTGGCCAGCAATTTCTGCATGTTTGGACTGGACAGGATGCCTGCCACAGCGTAGCCTGAGGGCAGACATGCTGGCTTGCCTTCTCCTGCCCTCCCTCTCTGCACCCCATCCTCCCACAGCAATGCCAAGTCCTTCCCAATGGGCTGGCATCTGCTTCTCTCATATCCTAGACCTCCCCTAGTTCTTTGAATCCTGGTTTCGAACTCAGGTTGTCAGGCTTGTTGGCAAGTGCCTTTACCCATTGAGTCACCTCACTGAGTAAGATGGTTTCCTGCAGTTCCCTCTGGAGATACCTACCATTTCCTGAGCTTTTGGCTCCAGCTGCCACAGTCCAGTTCAGCTCCATCGATGCCTGGTTGTGGCCCACGGTAGTGATACCTGTGTTCTCTTGCTCCTTGATCAGGGACAGTTCTGAGGGAGCAGGGGGAGTGACTGGGGATGCCACATACAGGATGGAGTCCAAGGGTGGGACAGGGCAGGACAAAGCCTCACCTGTGTTTGAAGGGGATGTGTAGATGAAGAGGCCTTTGGGTAATGACTGTGCCAAAGTCCGAAGTGTTTGTTCAAGGTTCAAGAGCAGTTGGGTGGCCAGTTGGTGGCGGGCCATCAGGGTGAGGGTCTCTATGTCCCCAGGAGCTTCCAGCAGCTTGTCCAAGGCCTCAATGAGTTTCTGGGGATACGGGGTGACAGATTTTGAACCATAGGGACTGACTGAAGGAACTGGACCTCACCCCTCTTATGCAGACATTGGAGAACCATGCCCATTGCCTGGGGAACTAGTTGGAAAAATTCATCAAGACTCCAGAGTAGCCAGAAAACAAACGAGGCTTATGACCCTGTGTACCACAACAGCGTGTACCACCAGTAGGCACAGGGACTGCCATAGCTCAGCTGGGCCATGCCCCAGACCCTCACCGGTAGATTCCAGGCAGGTACTTCACCACTGAACCATGCCCCCAGCTCTGTAATCTTGAAATTACTTATGACCTTGAACTGCTGTGGTTACAGGCATCTGCCACCAGAAGTAGTTTATTCAGTGCTGGGGATCAAACCCAGGGTTTTGTGCATGCTCGGCAAACACTCTACCCTCTACCAACTAAGCCACATTTCTGGCCCTGTTTCCTTTTCCTTTTTGAAACAGGGTCTGCCATACAGCTCAGCAACTTGAGATCCTTCTGCCTCAGCCTCCAAGTAGTGGGCCACACTGTGCTCAACTACAGTCTTTGTTTTTTAGATAGGGTCTTGCTATGTAGCCCTGGCTGGCCTGGAATTTGCTATGCAGAACAGGCTTGAACCCACAGAATCCACCTTCATCTGTCTCCTGAGTGCTGGGATTAAAGGTGTATACCACAATGCTCTGCTCAACTTTAGTGGAGCCTTTTTAAAAAAAAATTTTTATGTATATGAGTGTTTTGCCTGCATGTAAATGCAGTGCCCATGGAAGCCAAAAGAGGGCATTGGATTCTCTGGAACTGGAGTTACAGATGGATATTAGCTGCCAGGTGGGTGCTGGTAACAGAACCTGGGTCCTCTGCAAGAGCAGCAAGTGCTCTTAACTGCTGAGCATCTCTCCAGCCCCTCAACTCTAGTCTTAACAGCCTCATTCCTTGCTGTTATAGCTGTGTCATGTGTGCACTGGCTGGTGAATGTGTGTGTCTGTGTTTAATGGCCATGTACTGCAGATCCATGTGCCTCACACCAAAGTCCCTGCTTGGCTAGAACCCTGTCACAGTCCCCACTGAAGCCTACCACAGCCCTGGCCCCCTCATCCTCCCTCACCTGAATGGTGGTGTTGGCATTGTCTGGATTGAAGTCTCTGAGCAGATTCTGGACTTCGACAGAGAAGCAGGAGAAGCTCTGGGGAGGGAAATGAGATGTGTGTGGGGTTGGAGGATCACCAATGGGCAGGCGTTCAGGTGAAAGGGATGGATGGGCTACAGAAAGGGATTGGGCCTCCTGGTCCCCACTGCTCACTCACCTGGCTGTTGACTCCCATGGGTGGTGCCCAGGTGGGGAAAAGCAGCTCTGCGGGGACAATACCATGGTTCATTAGGCTGAATTCAAATACTGGGCATGTGTTTGGGGGGGCAGATGGGGTGGTTGGCTAGGTCAGGTACCTCTGCAAGTGGTGTTCTTTGGGCCACTAGAGGACCCGGGAACTGGCTCCCAGCCAGGGCGGCAGTGGCACTTATAGGAGCCAGCGCTGTTGCTGCACACAGTGGAGCTGTGGCACTGATGCTGCCTGGTGCTGCACTCGTCCACATCTGGAGAGATGCAAAGAAGGGGGTCAGACACCTCCCAACCCTGCCAGCAGTCCCTACCCGTCTTCCTCTTCGCTACAGTCCCTGGCCTGTGGTGCCATCCCCAGGTGTGGCTGCAGAGAGCAGTGCACACTGGGTTAGGTTATTTGTAAGGGCTAGAGGCAGCACAGGTCAACCCTGAACAGCTGTACAGATTGTGAAGATATGAACTATGGTCCTCTTTAGTAATCAGCAGCCATTGGGGTCCCCTGGGGACACCTTGTGGGTACCCCACTTTCCCAGATCCAGCCTCAGGGAAGGAGGTCAAGCAGAGCAGGATGCTCCCCACCCCCTGCAGTACTATGATTAAATATAAGATCAACTTTTGTGACTGAGGAAACTTGGCATCCGGACCTTCGCATTTGGTGGTGTTCGGCCCATTGGGGGATCCAGGAATTGGCTTCCAGCCTGGGCGGCAGATGCAAGAATAGCCACCCAACTTGTTGATGCAGTGGGTGGATTTGTGGCAGGGGTTCTGTCCCGAGGTACATTCATTCACATCTGGGGACAAAGCCAGAGGGTCAGCCCTCCCTTGCCCTCCCCCCTGCCCCTCCGGGTAAGCATCACACCCACTTCCCTATCTTCTCATTGCCCCAGATACAGTTGCCACCAAGTGACCTTCAACTTCACATTCAGAAAACCTTATGGTGACTGCTCTGCAGACAGGACAACGAGGTTCAGAGTCCTGAGTTAGTTTACAGGAGGTGAGACCAGGAGGGAGAGTCACAGGGTTGGACCTCCTCACCAAGGCTTCCTGGGTGGTGCTGAGGTTTCCTTACTCAGAACTGTGACACTTTGTTCTTACATGTGATAGGTGAGAGAGGAGTGAGATGTGGGGGTTCCACACAGCTCCTGGGCTACCCTACCCTATAGAGACACTTTGCTGGGGGCTGAATTGTCAGGCAGCAGTTTTGAAGGCCTTATGACCTCATGGGACCCTGCAGATCTTCTCCATCTTTAGTCTGTGGACCTGCCTGGCTCCATCCCAACTTCTGTCCAGCCTTGCAGTGTCTTCTAAGACTTCTGCTTGCACACAGCTTCAGGGAGCTCAGCTTGGCTTGAGGTCAGAAGATAGCAGCCTACATAGCTGCCCTGGGTGTTGGTGCCGATGCTGTGTCCCTACTGACTCTGGGTTCTGACTCTCATCCATATCATGAGAAGAAATGGAGGGGGTTGTGCACTCGCAGCTGAGGGTAGCCTTTGGGATGTGGGGTCTGCCAGGCTTCATGGCATAGAAGCATCTGGAGCCTTCATCTGGCAATGTCCTACAGTATCCATGCTAGGCCTGACTTTGTTGTCCAGATGGCAAGGGAAGTGGTGGAGGGCTCCCTAGCTGCCAGTTGTGGACTGTAGCCTCCTGGCAGCTCCTTGCTAGGGCAAGGGTTTGACAGCCACCAGTGTTCTGGCCTGAGGATTAGGGCAAAGGACACATGCACCCCCCAGGGAGCCAATGTAGGGGAAACTCAGTATTCCAGGTGGTGGCCTTTGTCCCCATTCTTCAGGACGATGTTCCCTGGAGTTCTGCATGTAATTTCAGGGACCCACAGGACAGAACTGCCTACTTGTGCTAAGTCCCAGAGCTCAGTTCCACTAAGTAGAAGACTAAGATCTCCTTCTGATCCAGGCATCCCTGTAGGAGGAAGCTCAACAGAACAGAGGAGGCTGAGTGGAGACAGTGCCCAGTAGGCCAGGGCACACTACAGTGAGAGCCATCTAGGGTGACAGAGGGGCTGACCCCAGCCAGGGGCCTTCAAGGTGTTGTTTTCTGACTCTCAGGAAGGCACCACTTGGCTGCAGCTGCAGAAGGTACAGCTGAGAACTTGTATTCTAATAAAGCCAGCCCTTCAAGGTCAGAGTGCCCAGAGAGGGGGGCCCTGCCCACGGGGGTAGAGGTAGCAGGCATTTCTGTCCTCTCTCCTCCTGCCACGGTCACAGACCTGGGGACCCACTGAATGGGGTCCAGCTTCCTTCTTGTCCTGGATTGCCTGGTCTAACAGCTGTGGGTAACATCCTTGGCCAAAGGATGGTTCTGGGGTAGTGGTCCTCTCCACACTTTCTCTTGCCAGGGTGTCTGACCAGAGTCCCTGCCTTCAACTCTGAGGGGGCCGGGGGGTGCCTTCCTTCAACTCTCTGAGTGTGGGAATAGGGTGACTTTGCCCACCCCAGTCACACCATTCTATGCTTCCTTCAAGGGACCAGAATTTCTGGGGACAGTCAGAATGGTGACTGGGTAGGACAGTGGACAAGGCTGAGAAGAAGGGGGTGCCAGGATCCAGGAGGTATCTTCAAGCAGAAGAGGTGGCAGGGAATGTGGCCTACTCTTGGTTGTCCTTCCTCCTGAGTTTCCAGGCTGTGTCCGTGGGTGCACTGTGGCTGGCTGCTCAGGGAGGTTTCCAGGTATAGATGAGACTGTTTGGACCCCAGGGGGGACAGGTGTTATCCTGGTGTCCACTGATGCTGGGAAGAGGACAGATACTGCACTGGGACATGCTGGGTGAGCTTACAAGGCAGAGTATCCTTAATGCCACATTTTCTGTTCATGCAAATGAGATGTAGATGGACAAAGGAATGGCGGTTTATGCAAATGAGATGCAGATAGACAGGAGGAACTGTGGTTTATGCAAATGAGATGCAGATGAACAGAAGGATGGCTATTCTGAACTTCCAGAATCAGGTCCTCTCGTGCTGAAAGTGGAGAAGGAGCAGAAGAAATGGTCCGAGGGCTCTTGCCATCCTTGGAGTGTGACACGGAGGCGTGTCCTCTGAGCTATGTTGGCTGGAGTCTGTAGTGCCAGGTGATGACTCAGGGTCTTATTCATTGGGTGGGTTTTGCTCTAAGCTGGCTGGGGACCTTCTGTCTCCTGCCTTGGGGTCCATGGAGACCCCTGCACCACTTTACCCCTGATCATCCAAGTCTCTCGCCTGGCCCTGTTGGGGACCCATCTAGCCCTGGCTTGTTTCTAATACTGTCCCAGAGCCACTTTATACTCAGGGCCATGGTACCCCCAGCTGGCCCAGTTGTACAGGTTGATCACTGTTGGGGAACCCTGCTGTTAGGGTTGGCTCCTTTCTCAGCAGGGGCTTCCTGCCTGACTTACCTGGAAAGTGTCTCCAAGCACAGATGCCTGACCTTATTCAGAATATGACCTTTGGCATAGTTACCTGCAATAAAAACTGCCCCCAGGTTTTTTCTATATGATAATTAGGCATTGCCCTATAGCCAGATGATGGGATCCCCCACCACATATAAATAGAGCAGACTATGAGCACCTATCAGCTGAAGCTTTGGCTGCTGCCTCCACACTATATTTTCCCTGACCTCCACCGAATAAACAGAGCTGTATCACTGAATAAACGGAGCTGTATCACTGAATAAACGGAGCTGTATCACTGAATCTGCCTCCCCGGAAGGGCTTTCTTCCATCGGTGCTCACTGGCCGTCCTGACCCCGTTCGTCGCTTCTGCTCCCTTTGTCCTTGTGGACCGGTGCCCCCAGCTGGCCCAGTTGTACAGGTTGATCACTGCTCCAGGCACCGATCCAAGGAGGCTGAAAAGTCTTTGCTCACCAAACTGGCTGTGTGCACCTGGGAAGGAGAGGTGTCTTCCCCTCTGGCCAGGCCTCCTGCAGGACGTACAACGTTCACCCTATGGGCCAGCACTACAGTGTGTTCTGGATAGGTCCCCATACAGATGCATGTCTGGGGCACGCATATCCCTGCCATTTCTCTACTTCCCATCTGCTGTTCTCTGTTTCCAGAGGGCAGAGAAGGCCTGGGGCCACAGTTATGGGCTCTTTTCCTTCTGCAGAAGTCCTGGTTTTCCTCTTGGACCCTCACCTCGATTTCAGCCTTGCTCGCTGTTCTCTCCCTGCTCTACAGGCATTAATAATCCTCTCTCTGGGTGAGCTCTGGCTCCCATATTCCCTTGGAAAGACTGAAGCCCTCACCCTGCTCACAGCTCCCACAGGAGGGACACAGTCTGGTGTTGTGGGTGGCCAGGCTCTTCTTGGTGGGAACCACAGTTTTCTGGCAAGGCCACAACAAGAGTCCTTTGCCTCCCTCATTGCTGCTCCAAAGATAACATAGGCGAGGGCAAGGCAGAGCTAACACTTAACTCACAGAGCCTGCTAGGGCATACACCTGTCATCCTAGCACTCAGGAAGCTGAGGAAGGAAGACACCTGAGCTCAAGCCTAACTTCAGTTACATAGTGAGACTTTTCTCAAAAAAAAAAGGTAGGGGCATAGCTCAATGGTAAAACATTTGCCTGGTATGGATGAGGCTCTGGGCTCCATTGCCAAAGCTCAGATGCCATCAATAATGCAGCTCATTCTGGAACTCCCAGTGTCCAGCACCTTATAGTCTCATTTACCTTCCTAGCTATGAAGCACATGCCAGCATTATGCTCCTTTTACAGAAGGGTAAGCCGAGGCACACAGACCTGGAATGACTATTCCAAGGTTACGAATGCATAAAGTGGGACTGGAGAGCTGGCTCAGTGGTTAAGAGCACTGGTTGATCTTGAAGAGGATCTGGGTGTGGTTCCCAGCACCCACATGGCAACTAACCACCCTCCATAACTCCAGTTCCAGGGGATCTGGCACCCTCTTCTGACCTCAGGCATTGCACGACATGAGGTAATACACTCATACACATAAAATAAAAATAATAAAATTTCTAAAAAAATGAACAAAATGCAAAACACCTTTGTGTGTATGTGCTGGGGTTGGAGAACATACTCATGCTAGACAGGTGCTCTGCCACTGAGCCATGCCCCAGCCCCACTGGAAGATTCTAGGTAAGTGCTCTTCCTCCTAGCCACACTCCCAGGCCCTCACTGGGGGATTCTAGGCAAGCTGAGCTACATCTCTAGTCTACCTCCCTCAACATTCATGCTGGATCACAGCCAGGTGCCACCACACCTAACTGAGAAGGGTTTTTTGAGTCACATGCAGTTGTCAGGATGGGGCCTCGGCAAGGAGCACCTGAGTCTGTGCCCCACTCTGGCACCACCCTGCAGCTCTGTGCTTGTAGACAGGTGTATGCACACTTGACCCCAGGGGTAGAATGGACATAAGGACACCATCTTGTGGCTGCTGCAATAACTATGTTAATGGCCTTGAACCTCACATTGGCGAGGTGAAAGTCATCAGGAGGTTCTCACCTTGACATGTGTTCTCACTCTGGTTAGTGAATTTTTTTGCCCCAGATTTGAGCTCATATCCTGGATTGCACATGCAGTAGTAGCTCCCCTCCGTGTTCTCACATGTTGCATATTTTCCACAGATGGCTGCCATGGGTAACAGACATTCATTGATGTCTGCAACACAACAGGAGAAAGGGTTACCTCCCAAACCTGAAAGTTCTCTCAAAGAAGAAAACATCTATCGCTACCCCAGCATGCAAACTGCTGTTCAGTTAGTCTCTTTTGGGAATTCTGGGTTGTACTGTTGAGGCTGTGCTGGAGCTGGAGCAAGCCATTCCTGAAGGCTGCTCAGTCAGTTCCGCTCCTCTCAGTCTTCTGGCTGGAACCCCAGATTTGGACAGTGCCAATGTGGGGGTGGACTGGAAGTTCAGCACCCCCTTCCCCAGTCCTAAGGCAAGTTGAGGCACAGATGCCCAGAGGCCAGGCCCTCTCTCTCCAGAAAGCCTTGCCCTTCCCACCTTACTATCTTTACTTTTTCTGCCTTTGTGAAGGCCTTGAGGCGAAGGGTTGAGACTCCCGATCACTGCATATCCAGCTTTGCTAATGGCCACATTGTGCCATCTCTCAACATGCCTACTCTCAGCCTTCATACCTTCACAGGTCTCTGTAGGGTCGGTGATGAGCATCTTCGATGGGGTGAAGCCTGGCTTACAGCGACAGGTGCTGATACTGACACATTCCGAGTTGGCTGGACACCACTTATGGCAGCCTGTGGGGATAGAGACCTCAGTGAAGTGAGAAAGTGAGATGGGCTGGGAGTACAGAGGCAGTGCCACCCAAAGAAGGGTCTCAAGGAAGTGTGGGGATGGTCCTTGGCCTCCTCACAGCTCTCCATCTCCACCCTGGGCTGTGTGGTACACAGTGGGGCTCATTCTCCAGCCCTTGCTCAGTTACTCACTCTTTGTCTCCTGGGGTCCAGCTTCAGGAAGGCTCAGCAAGGTGCACAGCACTGCAACAGATTGAAGAAGGGTCAGCTAGGACTCAAAGCAGGGACAGAAGGCCAGAGAGTGATACACTGTGGGCAACCAGTGCTGACTCTGGCAAAGTGACTCAGGAGTGGCACACTCTGTAACTCAATCACTCAGGACACTGAGACAAGAGGATCAGGAGTTCAAAGCCAACCCCAGGCTACATATTGAGCCCCCATCTCAAAAAAACAAAAAAACAAAACAAAACAAAACAAAAAACGGCCACAAAGCCAGGCATGGTGCTACTTGCCTATAATCCCAACACTTGGGAGGTAGAGGCAGGAGGATCAGTTCAAGGTCATCCTCTGCTACGTAGCAAGTTTGAGGCCAACCTGAACTATATGACATCCTGACTCCAAAAAACAAAACCACAGAAAACCCAAATAATAACAATAGTAACAATAAATAAACCTAAAATCAATCAAGCAAACAAAAAGTCAGATCAAGTGTTCAACACTAAAGCTGAATGTGGTGGCACTGGCCTTGAATCCCAGCACTTGAGAGGCAGAGACAGGTGACCTCTGTGAGATGGAGGTCAGCCTAGTCTATTTACACAGTGAGTTCCAGGTCAGCTGGGGTTACAAGGAGACCCTGTCTCAAAAAACAAAAACAGGGGCTGGAGAGATGGCTCAGTGGTTAAGAGATGGTTCACCGGCAGCTCTTCCAAAAGACCTGGGTTTAGTTCCCAGCATCCACGTGGCAGCCAACAATGATTTGTAACTCTAGTTCCAGAGAATCTGATACCCTCTTCTGACCTCCATGGGCACTGCATGACACAGGTGCATTTATGTACATGCAGGCAAACATACACATAAAATAAAAATAAACCACGAAAAAAAAAAACTAACAAAAAAGAAAAAAACAGTTCAAGACTAGTCTAGGTTATATGGTAAGATCTTGCCTTAGAAACAAAACAGAAAAAGAACCAGAGCTCAGGTGTCACTTTTGTGGCTCAGACATCCATACACCTGCATGGGTGGCCTGTGGGTGGGGCCAGGAATTGGAGACCCCAGGGTGCCAGGCCCAGGTAGCTGTGTTCTGCTGGCCTGCAGGCTGGAGACAGGAATCCCCCCCCATCCAGATTTTGGACTGTAGCTTTAATCACTGTCTGCCTCAGTTTCCCTTTCTGTGGGATAGGATGCTGATGGTCCCCTTTCCAGAGCACTGTGAGGACTAACCCTGCATGGCTAAGTGAGTAACACTGTCTTTTACATTTACTTTTCAAATTATATTTATTTATTCATTGGAGGGGTGCTGACGATGGCACCTGTTGGGATTTCAATGAGAACTGTCCCCCACAGGGAACAAATATTTGAACACCCCAGTTTGTGTCCCTGTTTGGGGAGGTCATGGAGCCTGTAAGTGGGGCCTCATTAGAGGAGGCACATCCCTGGGGGTGGGTTTTGGGAGTTAATAGCCATGCCCCACTTCCAGCTCATCCTGCTTCATGTGCCTGCTGGAAGTTGTGGGTGCTCGGCTTCCTGCTCCGGCTGCCTCCTGCCACGCCTCCCCACCATGATGGACTTCTATTCCTTTGAAACTATAACCCCTAAGTTGTCTCAGTCATGGTGTTTTATCAGAGCAACAGAAAAGTAACTAATACAGCACCTGTGTGAGGTCAGAGGACAACTTTGGAAGTTGGTTCTCTCTACCACGCAGGTCCCCTAGATCAAATTTGGGTTCTTAGATTTGGCAGCAACTGCTTTTATTGACTGAGTCATTTCTCCCACCACACATTTCTTTGAGGCAGGGCCTCAAGTAGTTTAGGCTGTGTAGCCAAGGATGACCTTGAAGTCCTGATCCTCCCGCCTCTACCTCCCAAGTGCTGAGACTACAGGCAGTGTGATACAAAGCCTAGGTGCCCTGTTTGGTTTTGCCTGGTGGTATGGGGAAGTACCCAGGGCGTCTGCAGGCTAGCTGAGCACTCTATCCCAAGCCTCATCCTGTCCTCTTTTTCCTTTATTCATTTTGTGGCAGAGTCTCACTAAGTCATCCATGACAGCCATGCACTTGAAATCTTCAGTGTCCTGAACAGCAGGGGCCACAGGCCTGTAACACCAGGCTAGCCCACCGTCATTCTTTAGGAAAGAACCAAGGGTCCAGGCTAGGTCTTCGTTCAGGTCCCATTCCAGCTTTGACACACCTAATACCCCATAAACACTTTCCTAAGGGTTACCAGTAACATAGCGTATGTGTTACCACCATTAAATACATAACCTGGTGGTGACATTTCACCAAAAGCTCCTCATAGACAGGAAGTGGTTGTGCTTGAGGTTGGGGCACCTGCTTTATGTGCCCCGATGGTCCTGCTGTTTGTGGGCATCCCACCTGGGACAAGAAGGGGGCCCCAAATCCCAGGTACCTGTTTACCATTCTCTGAAGAAAGACTAGGAAGCAGAGGTAGAAAGGAGAGGAGAGAGGGAGGGAGGGAAAAGAGAGGAAGAGGCGAGAGGAAGGGCGTGGTGGTGGTGGCACAGGCCTGCAGTCCCAGCTACTTGGGGCTGAGGCAGGAGGACCCTGAGTTCAAAGTCACACAAAGTTCAAGAGCAGCCCTGGTAACTTAGTGAGAACCCATCTGAAGCAAAGCCCTGGGTTCCATCCTCAGCACCAAAAAATGAGAGAGGGGGAAGGGGCGTGGAGGGGGGGAGAGAGAGACACCAGGGGCCAGTGACATGGCTCAGTGGGTAAAGGGGTAGGGGCTTGCTACCAAGGATGACCACCCGAGTTCTAAGTTCAATTTCTGTGACCCACATGGTGGAAGGAGAGAACCAATTCCCATAACTTATCCTCTGACTTCTATATGTGTGCCCTGGCCACACACACACAAAGACATAAAAATGTAATTTTAAAAATAATTAAAGCACAAGCCATGTGTGGCAGACACTAAAGGTACCTCAGCACTTGGGAGGCAAAAATAGGCAAATCTCTATAGGAGATTGAAGCCAGCCTGGTCTACATAGTGAGTTCTAGGCCAGCTAGGACTATAGGGAGACCCTGTCTCAAAAAAGACACAGACACACACACACACACACACACACACACAAATTAAAAGAGAGAATAGAAGCCCAACATGGTGGTGCTGGCCTTAATCCCAACTACTTGGGGTGCTGAGGCAAGAGGACTGAAAATTCTCAGTCTGGGCTGCAGAACATAGGTCTGTGAGAGTATCTCAAAATAAAAATCAAGGAAGGGCTGCGGTCTAGCTAGGTGGCAGAGCTCCGGCCTAGCATACCTGAAGCCCTTGTTCCCATCCACACCAGAGAAGAGGGGGAAAACAGAAAAAGCGACAGACAGAAAGTTCTGAGGAGGCACCTCAGAAGCAAGGGCCAGGGGTAGGGGACCTAGAGTCTCTCCCAATCTAGGGAATGCTGCAGCAATGCAAGAACCCCAATAATCCAAGAGTCCTAGAGGGAGCCTTCAAGGTGGAGGGATTGGGAGGACAGATGAGTCATTTCCTGGGCTGATGGGAAAGGAATGAGTCATCACTGGGCTGGCCACATGTGACCCTATGTGGGGCTCCCAGGGGGATCCTAGGGTCAGCCACTGTGTGCAGGGCTCTGGACAAAGCCTATGAGATGGTCCCTCAGAAACTCAGTCTTTGTCTGAACCTGGTTCCCCCTCAGACTACAGGAGGACAGAGGCCCCTCCTGTAACTCACCCTCTCCTGGCTGGGGTAAACTGAGGCTGGAGCACCGTAGCCAGGAGGCCACCCCTCTCAAGTCAGAATTCCTCTTCCTTCCTCTTCTTAGGCCACAGGGCTTGGCTGCTTCACCCTCAGCCAGAACCCAGTTCCTCTTTGCAGGACATACCACAAAATGACCTTCCCTTTAGGATCATGTACGTATGCATACATGTGCACGTGCACAGATCTCTGGGTGTGTGTGTTCACATTGTGTGTGAACAGGCTTAAGTGTGGCTCCTCAAGCGCCTTCCACGTTGATTTTTGAGACTCACTGAAACCGTGCATGTACACGTGCACAGATCTCTGGGTGTGTGTGTTCACATTGTGTGTGAACAGGCTGAAGTGTGGCTCCTCAAGCGCCTTCCACGTTGATTTTTGAGACTCACTGAAACTGAAGCCAGGTGTCTGGTCAGCAGTCCCCAAGGACCTACCCACCTCCACTTCCCCAGTGCTGTCATTTACAAGCATGTGCCATCAAGCCTGGATTCCTTTACATAAAAAAAACCCAAGAAACAAAAGACAGGCCTGGTTGCACATGCTTGTAATCTCAGCACTCAGGAGATGGAGACAGGAGGATCATAAATTCAAGGTCATCCTCAGCTACATGAGGATGTCTCAAAAATAAAAACAAATAGAAAAGATTCAGAACCACACCAGGATGCAGGGGCTAGGGTTATGTCCAGTCTACACACAGAGAAATGAGGCTTGAATCTTAGAAAAAGATCAGTGGATAGACAGGGCCAAGGAAGGTGGATTGGAGCTGCAAATGTGTCAGGCCCTTGGGAAGGCTCTTTGGCACCCTGTTTCCCCAGGATGGGCTGGGTTGGGCTCTGCCCGCCATCTTGAAGCTATTGGCCAAGTTGCCTCCATCTGGACACTTGGAAGTTAACCAAACAGGAGCCAACTGCTGCCTGCTTACTCCCAGACACATCTGGTTCAAATTCCCTGGCTGACTGAGCCAGGAACAACAGGACTCTGGCTTAGGGATCCAGGACTTAGGGGCAGTTTTTGTGCATCCTGCCAAACACCCTCCCTGCCCCAGTGGATCCCCAGACCCTAGTTATCTCATCAGAAACCAATAATAATCATCATAATAATATAGTGTCCTTTTTTTTTTTTCCTGGTCTTTTTGAGACAGGGTCTCCCTGTAACCTCAGCTGGCCTGGAACTCACTATGTAGACCAGGCTGGCCTTGAATTCACAGAGATCCATCTGTCTCTGTCTCCTGAATGCTGGATTTAAAGTCTGCATCACTACACCCAGCTCCACTTAATTGTTTTTGTTTGGTTGATTTTTGAGACAGAGTCTATATGAGATCCAGGCTGATCTAAACTGAATATGTAGCCAAGAAATGACCTTGAACTTTTGATCCTCCTGCTTCCACCACCTAAGTGCTTTGATTCCAGGTGTCCACACCATTCCTGTGTGTTCTGTTAATTCAAACTGTGAACCAGAAAGCTTATGTACAAATTCTCTCAGCCCTTGAAAAGATTCTGTAAGATGGAGTTGGTCTTGCTCCATTTTACACAGGAGGGCAGTATAGCTCAAGGCCACTATAATACAGCCCTGGGGACAGCCAGCAGGCCTCTGCAGCTGTCTGCCACCAACTGTGTCCCACTAGGTCTGTCACTGGCTCAGGAGCCCAGAGGCTATTTGAGAGGCCACCTGCCACCAGGCCCTGGCACGCAGGCCAGTCATTGTGGTTGGGGCAACCCCAGCCTGTACCCCAAGTTCCATTTCTTCAATCTTTGTTGTCACGTTGTCTAGGTAATGAGCTGTCAGATAACGGTTGGAGGAACCCAGGGTGGGGCAGGAAAGAAGACTGGGGAACTTTAAACAAAAGTCAAGTTTAAAACCACAACCCGGCAAGATCCCGTCAACCTGTGGTTCAGTACCAGGCAGATTCCCAGGAAGGTTTCTGGGGTTTCCCTGACGTTTGGGGGCACTCCGCTTTGGAAGGGGCGATCTAGCGCTCCCTAGCACCTCCGTATGCTCTGAGGGCGGCTGCCTGGGGCCACGGGTGGAGCTTACTTTACCCTTCATTTCTTTTGTTTGTTTTTGTTTGTTTTGAGATGGGGGTCTTGCAGTGTAGCCCAGGCTGACCCTGAACTGGCTATCCTCCCGCCTCAGTCTCCCTAGTGCCGGGTGTCACCACGCCGGCTTTGCACGCCCCCCCCCCCCCCCC